GATCAGTATAGGCATATTTTTATCCCCTAAACATTCTTCATCTGTTCGGTTTCCTAGCTGAAAGTCTGGTGATCCGAAAATAATAGGGATCACATGAAAGCTTAATACGTTTTCGAAAATTTCAGCCAGAAAAAACAAGGCTCCCGAAAATTCTAGGTGACCTTTCTAGGGTAAAAATCCGTTAAAACTGGGAAATTACACCATTTTTTACGATGTTCGAAAATCCTAGGAGAGGCAGGCAAGCAAGAGATTTTACAGCAAACGTTCTGAATTCAAAATTCTAGATCTCATGAATCGTCCTCCGAACAGTTTTTTTTTCCGACGTTGGGTGCCCCTGTAAACTGAACGCAGAAATGTACGAATATTGTTTTCCGGTTTGGTGCTAGCCTTTTGAGCACTCTTAACTGAAATTCGTCTTTAATTTGCTATTTTTTTTCATAAGTGGTTGCCGGGTTGAGAGCTCTCTTTGCCCTAGCTTCAAGCCTTTACATATCTCTTCTCTTTTCTACTGATGAATTTCAGAAGAAACGCATGCGTAATTTTAGCCCCTGCAATAGCCTCCGCCACAGAGTAAGCTTCTCTCGTTGGGTAACGCACGAAACGAGCTGATTGTGCTGACATAATTTTAGCCTCATAAAGTTAGGTCACCGCGATACTTCGTCGTGCGTCGTCCCGGCTAGAAGACTGGTCACACTAAAAGTAAAGATTGTGTCGGTCACAACTCCCGCTTTCACAGGTAACGAAACGGGCTCGAGCAATTTGCATGCTGGCACGCGGAAGTACAGCCACTAAATTAGCCAGAAGCAGGAGCCCATAACCTGGAGCGAGCAACTTCCATGCACTTTTGTCGCGGCGTTTTTACTAGCCAAGTTATTTTAAGATCGGTTTTGGCGCGAATATAGAATAATTTTCAAGTCCCACAAACTAGTCAGGAACACCTACAGACGCAAAAATGGTAATAGCGGAGATTCCACTTTCGCGGGAAAAAGCGCTCTTAAGGTCATGTACAAACGCCGTGTCATGGGCCTAGTGTGGGAGTTGCAAGTGCTTGCTCCGAGTTATGGGCCCCTGCCAGAACCCATTTAAATTGCTAGAGATTGGAGCTTGAAGCAAAACGAAAGACAAATATAGGACCATGGCGCATGCGGCCTGTCGCAAACTTTTGCGATTTAAGACAGAAGAGCTTGACGATGCATAAGTTACTATAGATTTAACTGACAGACATCAGTGTTAATTTGAAATGATCGCTTTGCCTAAAATGGCGCATAAAAAAAAATCATTGAGCCCTAAATCTCAGTGCTGATAATCAAAAAGTCATTTTTACTAAGCTATAAGACCAATTCTTGTCGTTTGCTCTCTTCTTAAAATGATAAAAGAATTACCGACAAACTCACCCATACTTGGAAGCTAAGCCAGGCGATTTAGTTCATCATATATTTCAATGAAGAAAAATGCAATAATTAGAGATCTTTCATTTGGAACACTTAATTACAGTGAAACCTCTATTAAGCGGACACCTTCGGGACCTAAAAGTGGCGCATTGTTAACGATTAACTTTCAACGGTTACTCTGTACTGTGATAAAGTTTCATGTTGTTAAGGATGCTAAGGAAGCTGAGCTGTACATGTGCAAGACTTTTAGGAAAACAAGATGTACTGAAGCAAAGATCTTCCTCGCTAGCTTCGCGGAATACCTGCGTACACTGCCTTGCGATCGGACGGCAAGGAGACCAAGGCCAAAAAACACTCCCTTTGACTTAACAAAAGATATATTTGGAATAGTAAAACGAAAATCGTAAAAAGATCTACACAGCAAAGGGACAGTAGGCTTCATCAGTGAAACACGTCGCTTTCCACTGTTGTTCAACTGTCGCGTCCCAGTTGAACTGATAGGATCACGTGTGTTCGGACTTGATAATATAGTATGAAGCATTGCATCATTGGATATATGAAATTCCCCCCTTTAGTTGAACTTTGGTCGCGGATGACAATTTAGCCTGCGTGGCTCCCCTTTCCCTTTTAACGCCTGCCACGCAGGCTAATGACAATAAAAACGCCTGCGTGGGAGGCTAGACATCGGTCTAATCTTTAGTTTATTGACAGCTATTGCTAAATGTATTGACTTATCGCTATTAATAGACTAAACTACGTATTTCAAGGACGTAATCCAATACTGCCGACTGTCAATTCAGTGCGGTGTCCGCTTAACAGAGGTTTTTAACAACAGAAATTAGCGAAATACAATTTATTTTAGTGTTTGCGTCCGCTTAATAGAGGTGTCCGCTGAATAGGGGTCCGTTATAAAGGGAAATATAAGATGTTAATTTCGGGACGTGACCGGTCTTAGTGTCCGCTTAGTAGGGGGTGTCCGCTTAATAGAGGGTGTCCGCTTAAGTGGAGGTCTCGCTTAATAGAGGTTTCTCTGTATTCTTTACCTGGCGTGCGTGTAATAGTTTTGATCAGCAGAATCGAGAACCAACAAGAAATTTCAACGTTAATTTCAGCAAAATCAGATATATTTTCACGACTGATTATGTCTGATGGGAGAAGGTATGTGAGAGCGGGATCAACCTAACTGCATCTTCATCTTTATGAACATACTTTGTTCTTAACTACTCTTTTTAGTCAACGGAAACTGCAACAAAAACTCAAAGACTTTCTCGTTGAAATGATTTAAACAAGTACAAATCAAAGTCTAACCGACAAATTGATTCAAGGATTTAGCCACGGCAATACTTTTCCTCCGTGGTTTGATTTTGTTTCCCTTTACACCTGCTCTATCAATTGAGGCTGCGTACGTTCACACTTTACCAGATAGATTGTTTTGGCGCCGGCGTGGACACTATACCGGATAGGGATTTTGTTCACACTTAAAAACCGATCGAGTGATTTCTTTAACGAAGCGAGGTCGAGAGTCGCATATCGCACAGGTGTACACACTCCACCTGATCAGCTTTTCGTGTTGGCACATAGACTGAGCCTTTACAAGAGTGATTTTGAACAGTATGTGCTAAAAAATGTATTTTATAATACCCTGACTATACCGGCTGCTAAATAAATGTTTTTTAGCGGCACAATTAAATTTTGAAGAAAAATTTAAATAATTTCAGTCAATTTCGCAGTTTTTGCTTAAACGTCTGTATTTGTATTGGAAAGCAGTGTGGAGCCACTTACTTTTAGACCAAAATGAGGCCCGAAGGACCCAATAAGGAGCTGTGGCACGAAATTTATCAAAATTCAGACAGCATGAACAGCCACCAAATTGAGTGTGAAACTTCAAAATAACCGCTGGAAACGTTAACAGAACTTAGAGGGTATATAAATAACACTGACAGTATATTCAAGCAAAAACATGGGTGGACAAACTTGAAGAAAATTGAATGAGACTGGCCTAATGCATTTACTTTCCGCACTTCCCCCCCACCCCACCCCCCCCCTCCCCGGTTAAGAACCCTTGCATTTTCCACGAGTAAGTTTTAAAAAACTAGGGATTCATCTAGGGGTGGAGGAAAAAAATAAGGAATAATTTGGGGGGGAAATGTTGATTTTCGCGATATTCTTCAGGTATAAACCCATA